GGCCATGTTAGGCGAAAATTCTACAGCATGAGCCAAGACAAGGAGTTGGCAATAGGCAAAATGTGTTGAGGACTGTGAGAAAACCAATCCAATGGGACGAAGAGTTTGTGTAAGAGAAAGTCAGGATGGGATGAGGCTGGAAAGATTTGGAAGCCAAACGAAAGCATGCATTCTCTAAGGAAGGTTTACTGCTGGGGGGCATGGGAGTGAAGGGCCCTTGGGAAGCTACACTGGGCACATCTTTACACTGGATGTGGGAGAGAATGGAGTTTGGGAAACCAGGTAGGAGGCTGTTAAAGTAGATCAACTTTGAGGTCTGGGCTTTGGTGAAGTAGATGACAATGGGACTGCAAGGCCAGTGGATAAATTGGGTGACTGATTGGAAGTGGGAGGAGAAGGACCCACCATATATTTGATTCAAGAGTATGAGAACTGTGCATTTTTCTTTCTCCTTGGAGTTTTAGACCCTTATTATTTTCTGTAAACTGGCTCCTGTGTATTATTTTGTTGCTTCTGTTCATTCATTTATTCAGAAGATTTTTTTGAGTGCCTCCTCTGTGCCACATTTCCAGGTCTGGATGATTTCTGTGTGTGCATCCTTCTAAAAATACAAAAGTACACAAATGGGTAAGTTTGTGTTTAAGGTGCACCTACCAGGAACGCCTCAGTTACAAGTGGAAATTGATCCCTTTTTAGCACGTGCAGACAGAGACCATTTTAGTTGAGACCTCAGAAATATAATTTAGCAATCAGAACCAATCAGCATTTGACATAATTTCGTACACAATGATTTCAAGGAATTAGTGATGCTGAAACTAAAGTAACAGGTGATGGATCTTTGCATGTTTTGGTAAAGGTTTATTTTGCTGTTGGCCAGGGTGGCTTCACCTCTTTTGAACCCTCTACTTATAAATGTGGTTAAGGTAGGCATCTGAAAACGTAATGACTTTATTCCTGTTGGTTGTGACAGTTTGGTATTTACATATGGCATTGCATAATAAAATGACATATTTGGATGGCACATATCCTTGGAGTGGTTCTGGGGGTTTTCATAAAACCCATCCCTTTTTATAGGTTGGACTTCCAAAGAACTACACTTTGTTAATTTTTTTGCCATTGACTTGGCAGTGTAACTTTGGGCTGTACATTATTTCCCAACACGGGAAATAAAAGTAAGTTTAGTTTTGTCTTTGTGAGTGGATTTTTTCAGTGCTAGTATTTGTAACTAATATTTTCAAAGACTTGGCATATTTAATTTTAACAACGCAGATGGTTCTTGAAAGGTAGATTTGGCTTAGTCCATTAATATTTGCTGGGGGAACAAAGGGTAAACCAAAGTGTACTTGGCAAAATCAAATGGAAGCAAAGCATATATTGAATATGATTAGGGTCTGTTTCCCCCACAGAAGAGTTTTATTTAAAATACACCATGACCAAAAGCTTAATTATCAAAATAAAACAAGAGGAATCAAGAGTTACAGGCTTCTGATACTGTGTTTCAGCCCCAGTTCCCTTCACACAGTTATCAGCATGTGTAATTTCCATGCATAATAGCACGAGTTATTGTTGTCATTTGTTAAAGGGAAATTAACAGATAGTAAGTACAAACAAACCCAAATAAGTACTGAATAGAGAGGTGACAAAGAAGAAAAGACCTCTTTAATGTTAATTATAACTGGTAGGAAGTCTAGACAAATTATATTATCTGTTTTCTATATGATTTGAAAGGACATTTAGTTAGTAACTCTGTCAGAGATAGAGTTAGGTGTTTGCTTTAGAAACAGGTGAGGTGACAATTTAGCATCTCCTTGGTTGGCAGCTCGCGAGTGAGTCATGAAGTTGTAGTAAATTGATGGAATCAAGTTTCCAAAACACCTGAAGAGAGGTTGAGCTTTTCGAAGGGTATATTTTAAAAATTAAAGTATAATTTTAACTTATAGGTTGTATCCCAGTAATTAAAAATTTATTGTCTCAAAACATGGAGGTTGTTGCCTGTCTGCTTGCTTTTTAAAACTTTTGTTTAGAGTTGAATGAATTACAACTGGGATTGGCATCGTTAACTGATACCTATTCCGAAATGTGTAAATCCTTAGACAGCAACTTTAAGGTAGCAAAGCCAAATGAACGATGAAGGAGTTGTCCAGTCCTGCGTGTGTCATACATGGTTTGCTTGAATTCTACTGCTTCCTTTATTAATATGCCTAAATGGGTACCTCCAGAAACAACTAGTCTTGCTGTTAGTATTTATAGGCTGCATTGAAAATTTAATACCTGCTGCGGTCAGCACCACTACCTTCCTCTGTATCCCCCATGCCTAGGACAGGCTAAACCGAAGTGTCTGGTTTCCTTAATTTTGAGGGGCCATTGATTGTGAACTGCACTCTTGACTTAACAGTGTTTTTGAAGGAAACAAATACATTATTAAATGTATATATCAATTGTAAACACATCTGAGTTTCTGAAATATCAAAATGTGAATTAAAATCTTGTCCTTAAGGCAGGAAAATACAGTTATAGGCCCTACGAATTGGAACAGAGAGTTGCCTGTGACTCAGAACCACTAATTCCTTGTTCTAGTTTGTGTTCTGCTGTGGTAGTAGTAGTTTGTCTCAGGTAGGATCCACACGACTCCAACCCTTGTCCGTCTCGTTTGGCATTTTTAGTTGGTACCATACAACTTGGTTCTTAAAGTCAAACCTTAATGAATTGCTTTTAGTCTTTGTGTGTGTGAACCTTTCTTATTTAGGTTGTCATTTCCTGAAAGTCTGTACCTGGGGCCTCTTTGGCTGCTCCACACAATATTTAATGTAATTCCGGGCATATATTAAAGGTTTCATAAGGAGTCCTTGAGATCCTCTATCTGAAAAGTTTAAATTTTAAAATGGCTCAGTATATCGATTGAAGACAGGAATGAAATTCACTGTGCATGTATTGACTAGGTGAATTTTACAATCTTTAAGGGTAGTATATTTTCTTTTAGTCAAAAAGTTCTACAGTCTACTTTCTCTGGCTGTGAAAGCCATAAATGGAGCTGAAAGAACTGATTTTTGGGGCTCTCTCTTGAGTCTGGTTGTAGTTTCTTCCAAGAAGAGCCTATTCTGAGGACTGAGGTCACACAGCACAGCAATGAGTGGGGACATCCCGCAGATTTGGATTAAAGCCATGTGGCAATGTTAATAAGTGGCAGATGAAGGTTCCGAATGTAATTAAGCAGCATTTGTATATATACTGCTCTTACCTAGGGAGAAAAGACCAACAAGTTGCTCAATCGAGAAACAGAGAACAGGGTTAAACATGTCATTGATTCTTTTCTTAATCACATCACACATAGCTCTCTCTGGCTCTCATTCTTTTGCATGTGTTATTCTCTCTGCCTAAGTGGTCTTGCCTGCTTTCTCCACCTACCAAACTTCTACTCACTCTTCAAGACCAGCTCAAAAGTTCTGCTTCTCCAGATACTCCCAAGACACAAAGACAGTCATGTCCCTATTTGCAGCTGCCTGCTTGGGAACACCATGTAACCGGGAATGCACCTTGTACCCCAGCACCTCAGCCTACTTTGCTTCACCTTATTGTGCCTAATACATGCAGCACTAAACCCACAGACCCTGATGTCTTCATAAGAATGCCTGAGCTTTGGGGCGCCTGGGTGGCTCAGTCGGCTAGGCATCTGACTCTTGGTGTCAGCTCAGGTCATGATCTCGGTCGTGAGATCAAGCCCTGAGTTGGGCTCCACACTCAGCCAAGAACACCTGAGCTTTGCTCCACCCCATTTGTGCAGTTTTGTATCCCTTTTTGAACAGATATGTTTTATAGCAAACATGATACTGATTTAAGATAATAGGCATATTGTTATCACATCTCTGTGAGAAAATTCAAACAAGAGCAGGAGGAGAGGGTAACTGAAGAAGGAAAGTGAGAAGAGAGTCTAAAGGCCAGAGAAGTGGGCAATGACTATTTCAGAAGTGGAACAAGAGTGGTTGGTTGAAATTGTCCTTGGAAACATTGCAGCCGGTTTTATGCCTCCAGATTATGTGTGTAGAAGAATCTGTCTTAATTTCAAATAATTGCTTACTTTAAGTGTTTCTTATATGCCGAGTATGGCTCTAAGCGTGCTAAATATATTGCATCATTACAACCTGTAAAATACTGTTGTTGGGCCTATTTTACAGAGAAGGAAGCTGAGCACAGCAATTAAAAAAGTCACTAGCTAGTAGTCATTCAGCTACTGGGAAAGTCATTCATTTCTACGTGGTATACTCTTTTTTTAAGATTTATGTATTTATTTTAGAGAGAGCGTGCACACAAGCAGGGGGGAGGGGCAGAGGGAGAGGGAGAAGCAGGCTCCCCGCTGAGCAGGGAGCCCGACATGGGCCTCGATCCCAGGACCCCGGGATCATGACCTGAGCTGAAGGCAGACGCTTAACCGACTGAGCCACCCAGGCGCCCTACGTGGTATACTCTTGACTTTGATAATGGTCTTTATTAATGACTGAAAACCCATCCGTGTGTAATCATATAAGCTTTTATTGGGAGGTTTTACTGTATGCATGCCAGGGGGTATATATTAAAAAGGGAAGAATATCTCATGTGATCTTTTATTTTTTTAAAAAACTTGATGAGTTTCCCAACTGTTAAGGTTGGGGCATAGATCAAAGTGACATGTCAGAGAAGAATGATAAGGAGCTATTTCAGAATCTCTAAGGAAGTTTGAACGAAATGAGTCCATCTTGAAAGGGTTTTTGTTTTGCTTTTTTTTTTTTTTTAAAGATTTATTTATTTATTTGAGAGAGAGAGAGAGAAGCAGATTAGCAGATTACCCGCTCAGTGCGGAGCCTGAGACAGGGCTTGATCTCACCACCTTGTGATCATGACCTGAGCCAAAACCAGGAGTCGAATGCCTAACCGACTGAGCCACCCAGGTGCCCCTGAAAGGGTTTTTTATTTGTATTTGTTTGATGGTGGTAATAAGACTGAAGTGTTCTCTTTCTTCTCTAAAGGGCTGGTTGATTTGTGAGGAGCCAACGTGTCGCAATCGAACTCGGCGCCTTCCCCTTCAGTTCTCCCGAAATGGGCCTGTTTGCCAAGTCTGCATGAAAGCTACACTTCGGCCAGAGGTAATAGTCACATGATGCCAAAGAACTGTGTAGAAGGGGGCAGGGGTGTGTATTTTCCCATTCCTTAGCTCTGAGAGGTAGATATTTGGTAATTGCCCTCTGGAAACACCCTACTACCACACATGTGTATTTTTAAAAAATTCAGACTTCAAAAAGATAAATGCTTCATTTTTTCACATCATGAACAATACTACACTTATAGCTAAAAGACAAACTGACTAGTTCTCACAGGAATTACTCTGATTTCTTTGGTTGCCACTTCATAATTACACGGAAGAAACTGCTTTTGTAGAAACTTGTCCTTGGACTAGGTCAGAACCCCTCTTGTAAGGGCCACAAAACCTCCCAAACCTGTGCCCTAAAGGGTTTATTGTATTTGTATGGGATTCCATTGTTTATAAGGGACAGCATATCCACTTTTTCTCTACCTTAGCACATACACCTGAGGGAGGAGGCCAACTATCATTAGTGACTTCCAACTAGGGAGCACACTGTCTGGACACACCTTCCTGGTAATTAAAATGCTTTCCTTCTGTTGTACCCTTGGAGCATCATCAACCCAAGTAGTATTCCCCAAACTCTGGGGAGAGAAATGTTTGAAGGTCTTCCTTGCAAAGAGGGTTTTGTGATCAGGTACATCCAGCAAACTCTGGGCTAGCCAGAGTTAAACAAGCTTATTGCAGATTGTCTGAGAACCTCTAAAATGATAATATGCAATCAACCTCACCAATACAGGCCTGTAATGTGCCTTGCTTTCCAAATTTGTCTGGCCCGAGGATTTATAAGGATTTTGCTGAGAAGAAGGTAGGAATAAGGAACCTGTTATTTACTTTTTTTTTTTTTTTAATGCAGAGGCAGGGTTCTGTAATCGGGTCTTGACTTCAGGTCTTTTCACTGAAAAGGGTTGATACACAGGCTAGTTTTAGGAAAATATTTTAAAGTTCTAATGGCTTCTTATTTTAAGATAATGGATCATTTCACAAATATTAGCAAGGAGTCAGGAACTACAAATGGCTACTACCATCGTATATTCCCTTGTTCTTTTGCATAGCCATATGTATTTTTTTAAAGATTTTATTTATTTATTTACTTACTTATTTGAGAGAGAGAGCCACTGAGAGCACAAGCACGGGGGAGGGGCAGAGGGAGAAGGTGAAGCCGACTCCCCGCTGAGCAGGGAGCCATGTGCGGGACTTGATCCCAGGACCCCCGGATCATGACCCGAGCCAAAGGCAGACGCTTTAACTGACTGAGTCACCCAGGCGCCCCGCCATATATATTTTTTACATGGTTTCAGTTATGATGAAAATATGCTTCTGTATCGTGTTTATCTTTTGTCAAGCATCTGTCTATGTTGTTACATCATTTTCAGTACGAAAACCAAATTTAACCGTTTTCTCTTGTTGGACATTTTAGGCTACTTTTACTATCTCTTTATTAGAAAATTGTAATGAATATTCTCCTGCTTACATTATTTTTTGTTATTTGAAATATTTCTTGAGAATAAAGTTTTATCGACAATACATATCAAAATTCCTAAATACAATATGGTCTGATTCGTATTGCCACATTGCTTTCTTAATGGGTTATCCCAACTTAAACTGTAGCTGGTACTTGATGCATGTACCGGTTTACCACTGTCTTTGCAGCATTTGGACATTATCAGTTATTTTTAACTAATTTAGTAAGGATAAAATGTTCCTTGCCTTATTTTGTATATCTTTGATAATTAGTAAAGTATATAGTTTTTTTTAACAAAAACATGAAACAGGTAGTGGGAATTAGGTGTTGTACTAAGTTGGACTCATCCCAACACTTGGATTAGCAGGTGTAGGAAGAGAACAAAAGTATATATATTTAGGGTGACTCATCACTCCACTTGTAGACTCTAGGGGAATCACCTGGCTTCATGAACCGATGCTGCCTTTGAGACTGCTTAAACATCTAGCTCATCAAGTCAAGTTCAGTGAAAATTGACTTACTTCTTAGAAAGTCAGTGAGTTTTATGATGATTCCATTGTTCGTGAGAGAAAATAAAAGGAGAGTGGATAGCTAGTAGATTGGTAGCCCGCCAGTAAATGTTGATGATGTTATTGGTAGTGGTTTAATACATCAGGTCACCATTTATCATTTAGTATCTTTTTTTTTAATGAGTGAGTCAACACAGGCATTTTGCAGTACTTTTTCCCCTTCTTATCCTTGTCCTCAAAATGGTGACATTTTGGCAGGCATTTACCAAGGTTATCAGCTACTCTTGACAGGAAGGAGCTTTCATAGTGTAGGGTCATATTGCTTGGGTCGTATTGCTGCTCAGAACATGACCCTTTGGGATAACTGGAGGTTCAGAGCATCCTGGTTGGTGATACTGCCTGTAGCTGTTCCTCACAGGGACCTTGACAGTGGGTCTGAGCCCACTCTTCTGCAGTCCATTTGGAGTTGCTAGTGATGAGTTGGGCATTGCTTGCTTCTGCGTATGAGGTTCCTGGGCTTTCCTAGTAAGAGGAAAAAGCTGCATCTTTCCAGAGACCATTCCAAAGAAGCTCCAGAATCAGTGGTAGAAGGGACAGGATCATTGTAATTACCATAGGGTTTTCTCAAGTGTCTGTTTTTCAGGATTATGCTTACCTGACCCTTAAGTTGTAGGGTGCTGTGCCTCAATCATACATTACTTTCATTTGATAATTATTTATTGAACACCTACTACATCCTAGGCACTGTGGAGCTGGGGGCACACCAACAAACAGGACATTTTCTTATTTATAAAGGTAGTTTCATATTATGTAGATTATATAAAATTGATATCTGTGGGCAAAAATAGGCATTTGCAATTATCTGTTTGGACAGAAGCACCAGACTTTCCCAATGCTTGCCTAGTGGGGGCTTTAAATACTTTGTTCCAGTCTGATGGTAAAGCACTTGCCTCTTACCATGCCAGTCTCATCCCTATGTAATAAATCTCTCATTTAGTCCTCGGTTGCATTTGGCTTGAGTACTTTCCAGGATTGACTTGGGGTATAAAAGCTGGCTCTTCTTCTGACTTATGTTGCCAGAGTCATAAGAAAGCTGGGACAGTTTTGTTCCCAGGGTTTTAGATGTGTCTCTCTTCTCAGATACCTTTAGAAAAAAAAAAAAATCAGTAAAGTTTTTTTATGTTCACAGGAATTTAACAGTATTCAAATTGCTGATTATTAAAAATACATTCTCTGATTGTTCTCTGTTACATGGGAAGTGCACATAAATTCAGGAATTCAAGCTTCAATATATGCATGAGTTCCTAAATAAATAGAACTCTTTTTCACACTGTAGGTAGACACAGGACTTTCCCAAGTTAGAGAATACATATTTTACTATCTCTTTATTTCAGGGATGTGGTTTTGACTCCTTACGGTGACCAAAATCTGTCTGGCTGTGAGGTGAACCGACAGGGGATTCTGTATTATGTAATTCACCAAAACTAAACAGTTAGTTTGTTTTGTTTAGTTTGCACTATAAAACTAAGATTTCAAACTAAATTAAACTTTTTCTCACTATAATTTCTGTTCTTGATACGGAGGTGAGAAAGCATCTACATGTGACCCCCTGGGTTGTGGCAGAAATCACTGAGGAAGTTTCACAGCCCCTGGAGTAGAGTGCTGTGATGGATCCCTTCATTCAGTTGTTTATTCAGCTAAATTTCTTGAAGGCCACTTTTAAGGAAAGTAGTAGAATGACTTCTAGTTCTACTTTGGGATACCCTTAGTCTTTCTCACATTATCCTCAGTTGTAAAATTGTGAAAATCCCTTATAATGGAATGTGTGTACCATACAGGACTTCGGCCTTCAAAGGAGAAGAAGGGGTAATACTGAACTTGTGGTCATTGTATGTTACAATTTCAAAATGGTTGCAGCTGAACAAAGTATTGATTTGATAAGTAGGTTAGGGACAGTGAGAATATTGCCAGGCTACCTGAGACAGTGTCTTGTTTCTGCATAAGATGAAAGCATGAAAATAACTGTGATCTCTTAGGGCAATAATTATGAGTCGTGCAAGAAGAGAACCTTAGAACTGTGATAGAAAGTCTTAAACATCTGTACCTAATCACTGGTTACCATCTAGGAGACAGTGGATTTTTCCCATGAAGGGTCTTTTGGACTTGCCCATTGTGATTTTGATGTTCCTGTTTGTTGATGAAGAGTTCGTTAAATTCTACAGACAGCTTTTTTTAACCATGAAGCAGATGCTCACTTTCTTTTTCAATAGATTTTTTTATTTTTTTTTATCAAGGTGAAATTCACATAACAAAATCAACCATTTTAAAGTGAATAATGAAGTGGCACTTAGTACATTCACAAATGTTGTAAGACCACCACTTCTGTCTAGTTCCAAAATGTTTTCAACACCCCAGAAGAAAACCCTGTACTCTTTAAGCAGTTGTACCCCATTCTTCCCCTTCTCCCAGTCCCTGGGAACCACTGATCTGCTTTACGTCTCTATGGATTTACCTATTCTGGATATTTCATATACAAGGACTCATATAATATGTGACCTTTTGTGTCTGGCTTCTTTGACCTAGCATATTTCTGAGGTTCATCCGTGTTATAACCTATTTCAGTACTTCATTCTTTTTTATGACCAAGTAATAGTCTATTGAATAGATACACCACAATCTGTTTGTCCATTCATCCATCCATGGACATTTAGGTTGCTTCTTTCAATATACTTTAAGGTTTATTTTATTTTCATTAGCTAGACAGATCTTACATTTGGCCTAAATATGTGTTGCGTGGCTCACTTGTTGGTCCTCGTTCAGCTGAATGCTACTGCACAAAGCTAGGCTGATCCCTTCTTCTGTTCCTGCGTTCAGTAAGCACTTAGTCAGCACCAGCTCTGCCTGCTTTGACAACTTTTTAGATACTTAAAGGTAGCTATCTTCCTGAGCCTTCTCCTCCTTGGCCCAATTTTCCTAGGTCTTCAACCATTTCTCTAGTGCTCTGCTTTTAGAATAATCATCCTAGTCTAG